TTCAACCAGTGCCAGGAAGGCGAGGAGGCCTACGGCGCGCTCTGCTACCCCAAGTGCAAGGAAGGCTACGAGAAGGTCGGCTGCTGCATCTGCCGTAAGAAGGGCTGCAGCGGCGCCGAAGGCGTCCATGATATCGGCGTCTCGTGCACCAAGCCCAAGGCGTACGGCCGCGGTGTTGGCTACGCGCTCTGGAACCAGGACAAGTGCGTCGCTGAGAACCCGCAAGGCTGTGAGAAGAACGGCCTCATGTGGTACCCCAAGTGCAAGCCGGGCTTCCATAACTTTGGCTGCTGCATCTGCACGCCCGACTGCCCCGCTGGTACGCATGACGACGGCGCCTTCTGCCGCAAGGACCACTATGGTCGCGGCGCCGGTGTCTCGCGCCTCGGCTGCGACAAGGGCCTCGAGAAGAGCGGTCTCTTTTGCTACAAGCCGTGCGCGCCCGGCTACAAAGGCGTCGGCCCCATGTGCTGGCCGCAGTGCCCGCCGTCGATTCCGTCCAACTGCGGTCTCTTCTGCACGTCGACGGGCGCCACGTGTGCCTCGAGTGCGATCGAGATCATTGGGTCTGTCGCCAAGATCGCGTTGAGTGCTGTCAACAACGACACGGCCGGTGCCATCTCGACGGGCATTCAGGCCGGCACGAAGGTCATTACGCTCCAGCACTGCCCCAAGCCCTAAGCGCGCAGCACGTCAAACGAAGTATGTTGTTCCAGATGTGTGAAACGACTGGAATGGTCGACTAAGCCCTTGATAAATGTTGTCATGCGCACGTGAATTCCATTGTATCTAGTCATCTCGTCTAATGGGTCACGTTCAAAATAAGCGAAATGGAGAGTTGAAGTGCAATTTCTCGACAAACGCTGGCGTTACAGAACTTGGTGCTGGTTGGCGGTTGATAATTTGTTGATATTGACTATCAAGTTGTTCGTGAACGGGTCGAGCTTCCTAGAGAGCCGTAGAGGGGCTTGAATGTCGTCGTGGAGGACGACTCACTCTCTATTTCGAAGTGAAAAGGGGGCACATTGATTGCAGACTGTAGCCCTACGTTTGGGCGTACCCCAGCACGCACGACGACTCGGCAGCGAAGCAACGGCGGCAACTCCAAAAGCAGCAGACGTTGAACTGTATCGCCACGGAATGTTACAGACTCTGACGCTCTGCCGTAGCAGCCAGCGGCGCGGCTTGTTTGCTCGCCGTTCTGTTTCTACATTTCGCCTCTACAACGACCCTTCCGCCACCAAATCCAACCAA